GCGTTAAGACGCCAAAATTTAGTTTAATATTTTAAACAGATGGCAACACTATTCACAAACCTTAATAAATATTGCAAATGTTTCAAGTAAATTCGTCCATCCCTTTTTGAACGAATAAAGGTTTCAAATGGCGTGGGTTTTTCATTTCCTCAAAATTCGAACCACCCTGCACCGCTAAAAACGGTCGTAACTTCAAAAAATAAAACGTTAATACACATTTAGAATGACAGTGCTGATCTGACGACCTTCACATTAAAGATCTGATGACCATAACAAAAAAATTATTTATTTATAAAAATTAACTCAAACTAATTTTTTTGGTATATTATGGGTTTATTCGAAAGAACATATATTCCCATTAGTTATGGAACCCGATATCATCATGTGACTGGCCTCGCAGTAGTTATTTTGACATTTCATATAACTTTGGGATAAGTTAATTAAATTCGACATTGCAAGAAGGTGGCAACCCTCTTGAAAATATTTTCAAATGTCCACCTTCTGAAACCCCTTTCGTTATGCGCCCATATGTTGAAACATATTTCTCCTAATTAATTTTCTTAATTCAAATTGAATTTAATTTTTTAAACAGGTGGCAACCCTCCTAAAGTTAAGTTAAGAAACAAATATTTTCAAAACCCTTTCCACTGATACTTACCAAATAACTTAAGGATGAGCACACCTAAAAGTTAAACATTCTAATAATAGAAAATATTAACAAAAACCCACAAAACCAACAACCACACGATCAAGTGAATTGCAGCGGAATAGCTGCGTTTGATTGTAGTTGGCTTAGCAAGTGAAATAGTGGAAATAAGCAACAAGAATTAATAAGGCGAACTTAGCCCAGTGCGTAGGCAACTGGCTGAGTCAGTGGGATCGTCGGTTCGAATCCTACTGAAAGAAGTCTGATGAGGAAATGTGGTGATTTCCGAAATAGCTATCACTTGTACTATTTTTTCAAATTATTGTTGCTTTTCCACAATAAGTTTTCATTAAAAAACGGCATCGAGTTCAATAAAAATTGTTGAATATAATTGTTATAAGGCCATAAAATAACAAAAAATAAATTTTGATGAAAATTTATTACATTTTCCTTAATTTTATATACAGTTTGAAGCTTTGACTTATCTGGTTTTGTTTGTAGCATGAACCATATTTTTGTACAAAATAACAAAAAATTATAGCTTGCAATACATTATGAATATTTAAAAAAACAAGGGTGCACGCAGATATAATGGAGTGAGCGTATGTATATATTGTATATAGATTTTGTTCTGGAATTGAACAGATTGATTGAGCACCGTGTTATTTTACTTTTTACGTATCGTTACCTTAATTTAAAAAGGCTCTAACTATCACTTTTTTCGAAACTGCGTTATTCACAGATTTCGGTAGTATACAATAGATGTCCAGTGAAAAATGTCCAGCAGCAACTTGTTACTGCTCTCTCAAATTGCATAATATCCCAAAAATTACGCGAACGATAAATTATCAAAAACTTGCTGATCGAAATTTTGTTTACATACAAAAGCATGAAACTGAAAACACGAAAAAAATATAAATTTTAGGTTTGCCTTAAGTTATTTGCTAAGCAAACTTAAGTAAATGAGCATTTGCTTTATTCCGAAACATTTGCTTCAAGTCACAGTATACAGTAATCCAGATAGACCAAACAAAAAANAATAAACTTAAAGAAAGTTTTTTTTAAGTTTTCAATTATAAACATTAAGCTTACAAAACGTTGATTTTTTGTTTATAAAACGCTTGAAAGTAAGCGTAATATAATCGAAAAGGAACATTGGTTATAAGCGTAGAAATATAAACTTGTAATAAATGTTCAAAAGAAAGCTTTTTATAAGCGTAAAAGTGTAAACGTGTGTGTAAAGTAAAGGTTAATAAAAGTTGTTTATAAGTGTATGAATATAAACTTACTAAAAATTTTCAAAAGAAACGTTTTTATAAACATTTTTACAACCCTTTATTTAAAGATATTTCATTAAAAACTCATACATAGATTGTTTAACATCTAGAAACTAAACGAACTGCGAATTTTCGGCGGACTCATCTACAGTCGCGAAAATATAAATAGGGAATAGACATTTTAGCATACAAATTCACGATAACACACAAAAATTAAGCATAAAAAAGTTAATTATTACATCTTGTTGCGTGTTTTCAATTACAAATTTTTGGCAAATTGGAAAAACGACATCGATGCAGCTACATATTCCGCTTCATCGCCGCCATTATCATTGATGAACTTTTCTGAAAAAAATTTAATACATTTTTAATTGAACGTTAAACTAAGAAAGGATAAGGAGAACTCATCATTTGAAGACTCGAATGTTCCACCGATTAGCGCACCGGGTCTTGGATTGGATTTTTTTTTACCGCATCGGTTTTATAATTTTTTTTTTAATAATATACTTTAAAAAACGTAAACACGTCACTTACGATTGAAAAAATGTTATATTTACTACTTCATGTCGTTGCCATTTGCATTTCGTTTATAAGTTTAAGTTATTTATAAACATTCGCTCTCAAAACTTATTAAAGGTTTATTTGAAAAACCTTTTAATAAGCTTAATATTAAAAATGCTTATTTAACGCTTGTTATAGCAAACTTATGGCGTTTTCGTTTCTACAAAAAATGTTGCCTTCTCATCGTGCTCTTCTTAGTGTTTTTGCGTAGAGGGCAAAGAGAAGGTTGCATTTTTCGGTAGAAACAAAATCGGCATTACTTTAAGTTATTTTTAAAAACATTTACTGAAATGCTTGTTGGGATGCTTATTTGACAATTTGTTTGAATGTATTGGTTGTTATTTTTTTCACAGTTGTCGTTTTCGTTAACCCAAATGAAATCCAATTTCAATATTTTTTTATGATGAAAAATATTTTCAAGTCACATAAAATAAAATAACGAGAAAAACAAAATCTCAAGCAAATCACGCGTGGAGTTTAGGTGATTATGACCGGATGCAGTTCCTACATAAGTCATACCGTGTTCCGAACACAACTTTCAGTGAATAATGGTGGGATGACTTTGGATAATTTAGGGAGTAGAACAAGTACTTACTTAAAAGTAGAACTCTCGCATTTTCAAATATACCACTCTTATAGTAGAGACCTTCATAGCTTTAATGAAACATGCACACAAACTTATATCTCCACGTTGGAGCAAATGCAAGAAATTTTTATGTATTTGTCCAGCCGCTTATTCTCATTTGCAAGGAGAAAATACATGAGTTAATGCAAATAAAGATGGTTTATGCAGATAAGCGAGCCCGTTTGTCAACTATATAAAATGCATGCATACATACATATTTATCGAAATATTCAGAATGAGATGAATTGGTTCAGCCGTGACTGTTTGTAAAAAATTTTGATATTTCAACGAAAGTCAGGGCCGAAGTTGACTTTGGTATAATTTAGGTTAGTATTCAATTTTGGCAAAATCTGTCAATAACCACGCCCACCTCCCATGTAGTGATTAACACTATTATTGTATTATAATTTTTTTTTACGAATTTTGCTGATCAAATTTACATGTCAAATATATCAACAAATATTTGTGGGTACATTCCCACCAGTCGTTGCCTATGGGTTAATGACAAAAAAATCCTATACACACAATACCATGATAAAAATATAGTAAGGTAGAACCGCTGAGAGTCACTTTTAAAATTCTTGACGTTTCCAAACAATTTAATTTTTAAATTTACTCACAAACTCACACACACATTTTCATTTTCAATCTCAAGCAACAACAATTTCGAACAATTTCATTTTTTTATTTTCACATTTATATGATTTTAAAATGTTGGCAAACTTCAAAAAAAAATCATGGCCGACAAATTGAGAGAACGGTTATACCTTGCTTTGTTTTTATCATGCACAATATTTCATGTATTAATTTTCAAATAAGCATATTTTCAATGGTTTGTTTACTGCATGATACAAATATTTAAAGGTAGTTTCACTTCTTCTTCTTATCCGCCATTGCTCCCTTTGACGTAAACTGTGCTTTTGACGTTTTCTTTTAAATTGAAGCTACCATATTATTTGAAAAAACTAGAGAGTGGTTTTTTACTAAAAAAAAATTCTAAAATTATTTCAAGGAATATATTTTGAGCATTTGAGGGAGCTTTTAGTGGCTTATTTCTAAAATTATATAAACGGAAGGCTAGTAAAATACTCCTATTGAATTGCGTAATGCACATGGATAATCCATTTGTTTATGCAATTATTTTCAACATTATTTAGTACGATTAGCTGCATATTTTGGGATGGTCACGTGCATGGTAACTTCACCAAGGTGTTGTTTGCTTGTCCCAACCACTTTTCGGCGGAAAATTTTCAGCCTCGGGACGGATGTGCCCAATCTAAGCGAAACGCTGCACCAGCAGCAGTATAGCGAGTAGTTTATCTGTCTATAAAATATAACAAGGAGCTCTAAGAATTTGTAAATTTTTTTCCCTTCCTCTAAGTTTATGCTTCCATAGTGCTTTCATTGACGATAAGATACTTTTTAACTATTCCTTTGTTCATATGTCCTATAAAAAGGATCCAAATTAAAGCAACATCCTAATATCTATAATAATATCTCATGGAACACTGCATATAATGCCAAATTTTTTCGCGGTAAGGTAATTTAAAGTACTATGCTAATACGATGAATTAAGTAAATTTATCATGCGTGTTGTTATTTTTTAATGCATAGAAAATTCCTTTAAAAAATAATAAAATTTCCAAAACAATAATTTGTTGAGGTGGCAGTGATACTCGAGCAATTTACGAAAAGTATAAACGTCATAAGCACAGTGTATGTCAAAAAATTTCAAAGTGAACCTACCTTCTTTTTTTGTATCATGGTTTACTGTATACTGTGCCTCAAGTTATTTGAAACTTAAAAATCCAAGGCATATTTAATAAGGTAGAAGTGACAACTAGCTCTAACTCTCTTGTAGCTAGTTATAATGTCAAAAAACTGTAAACAAACAAATTAACCCTATGGGGTGCGAGTGCTATGTTTGCTGCAAATTAGCATCAGAGGCATTTTATGTCACCGCGGCCTCCTCTGTGCGCGGCCACCTCTGTGCGCGACCTCTCAGGTTTTAGATGAAAGTTGAAGAGATTGAAGGTGTAGGTGACATGAATATACGTGCAGCATATTTTGCCGATATGACGTAGGGTTGCCCATTTACTCGGAACTTAAATTTTAAGAAAACGTCATACATATCTTTCTTTAAAGTGCTGCATCTTGGAAACGTTTTAACGAAACTTAATGAAAAAAAAATACTTCTTCCATCTTATGGGCTTTAATTGTACATTTTTTACATTAATGTGCAACGTATAAAACAAAAAAAAAATTAAGTAAACATTTTTCTTTTTGATTTTTTTTTGGTTATAGCATTTTTAAAAATGTTTATTTTTACATAAAAAAGTTGTCTATAATGTCAACTTTAAGTACCCAAATGGGCATATGGGCTACTTATGCGTATGGACTCTATGTAGATCGTCTAACGCTCGAGCAGTATGATAAATAAACTTTGAAATTTTATGAAGTTGTATATTTTTGAAAGAGGAAAGGTGTGTAAAAAGCAAAAACAATATGAGCAAATGATATTAACTTTACTAAAGGTCTGAAATCATGAAAATCCCTTCAAGGAAATGGCAGAACCAAACTTTTTTGCAAGTTCACATGGGGAATCTGCTTACGACGTGATTGGAGGAAATTTCAAGAGAATAGCAGTTAGAGCAAGTCTTTAACTCCTGATGTTACAACAAATTTCTGTAAAAAATAACTGCAACTAACTTTTCAGTGGACTTTATTTCGACTATGACTACGTGTCAATTACTTAAATCCTATCTTAAGCTAGTTAAAAGGTTAATTAAAATCAAATTAGGGAACTTCATATCCTTATTTGACGAATCTTTAAATCAATAAATAATTTTTTCTTATTGTAATAAAAGCGTGTTGGTTTTTTAGCTATAATTTTATTACTCATTTATTTTATTATTTTTTATTTATTTTTTTTACACACCTTTTTTTCTTGTTTTAATAAAAATACTAACCTTGAAACTATCATTGGAGGTCAAATATTCTTTTGCTATGAGTGTTGTTGATGTTTCGGTTTCATTGCAAACGAATATTAGACCTCCAATGATAGCTTCAAGGCTAGTCCTTTAATTAAAACAAGCAAAAGGAAAGGTGTGTAAAAAAATAAACTTAATGAGTAATAAAATTACAGTTTAAAAGAAAACCAATAACACGCTTTTATTACAATAAGAACTAAAAAGAAAAAATAACAATTTATTGATTTAAAGATTCGTCAAATAAGGATATGAAGTTCCCTAACTTGATGTTATTTAACCTTTTAAACTAGCTTAAAGTAGAATTAAAGTAATTGGCACGGAGTCATAGTCGAAATAAAGTCCACTGAAAGGTTAGTTGCAGTTATTTTTTACAGGCATCCCATTGGAAACATACAGCACTCCATTGGTAGAGGGCTTCGGGTGAACGAATTTGTTGTAACATCAGGAGTTGAAGACTTGCTCTAGCTGCTAGTCTCTTAAAATTTCCTCCAATCACGTCGTAAGCAGATTTCCCATGTGAACTTGCAACAAAGTTCAATTCTGCCATTTCCTTGAAGAGATTTTCATGATTTCAGACCTTAAGTAAATTCAATATCATTTATTCATATTGTTTTTGTTTTTTACACACCTTTCCTCTTTCAAAAATATACAATTACACAAAATTTCAATGTCTATTTATCATAGTATAATAATCATACTGCTCGAGCGTTAGACGATCTAGAGTCCATACGCATAAGTAGCCCATTACGCCCATTTGGGTGCTTAAAGTTGACATTATAGACAATGTTTTTATGTAAAAAAAAAATTTTTTAAATGCTATAATCAAAAAACAAAAGCAAAGAGAAAAATGTTTACTTATATCTTTTTTGTTAATTAATGTAAAAAATGTACAATTAAAGCCCATAATAAGACGGAAGAAAAACATATTTTTCATTAAGTTTCGTTATGACGTTTTCTTAAAATTTAAATCCCGTGTAAATAGGCAACCCTACGTCATATCGGCAAAATATGCTGCACGTATATTCATGTCACCTAGACCTTCAATCTCTTCAACTTTCATCCAAATCCTGAGAGGTCGCGCACAGACGTGGCCGCGGTGACACGAAATGCCTCATCAATTGAAAGTCATCATGGTGAAATTATACCTAGTGGTGTAATAAGAGCGAGATGAAAGATTTGACCCTATCTTATTTGAAAATTTGCCTTTAAAAATTTGTATAAGATAGCCGCATGTCATGAAAATAAAGCGAGAAAGCTTTTTTATTACTTCACCTGCTTATAATTTCACCATGGAAATGCATCAGTATAAACACATACAAGTGTGTGTACGTATACTAATTTTAAGGATTACTTCAATATTACCTTCAAAGAATTTTAGCTGCATTCGCATCTTATATGCACATATACATACATATGGACAGAAAAGAATACCTCATAAAGGAAACTACGTCATTAAATGAAATAAAGGTTTTATTAAACTGTTTTAAACATTTTTTTGTTTCTATTCGCTTAATGTTTTTTGCGCGTTTAGTTTCTTATTTAAATATTTACTTCTAAAAAACAACCGCACTTATAAAAAACGATTTAATGCATGCACCACCATTGACAAAAACTCCCCACCACCTCGGCCCCCTAGAAAATGGCCAAAAGTCACCATTTTCACTTGTGTTTTCGCTTGAAAAATGCTGAATATTTATTTGCACGGGACTTTTTATATACCCTTGATAACAGAAGAGGTCGCTGACACTCTTCTTCGGCAACACAGAAAGGAGAATTCTACTTAGTAAGGGTTATAATCCCTAAGAGCGGCTGAAGGCCGTCTACGTAGAAAGGAGTTAAGTGCAAAAATACTGTGATTACCGAAGCCAGAGTTATATCCACATGAAATGTTATACACAAAAGAAGAGGGGTTTCTCCTCCCTTCTTCGGCAACACAGAAAGGACACCTAGGTGGTCGGGGGTTGCATTTTTGTCAATGGCGATCCATGCCCTCTCCAAAAAGGCGGGGTTTGAGGTGCCCCTTCGCTCACTGCCTCTTCAATAACCGCCGGCAAAGTGCAGGGCATAAAATAATAACTGTCGCAGAGGTTTTTTGAAAAATAATAGGGTCCTTTGTGGATTTTGCGAAAAAAGTATTTTTTGTTAACTTTGTAAATATTTTACTTTATTAACTAGTTTCAAAATTTTAATCCTTATTTACATTTGTCAGCTTTGGGAGATAAGTACATGCGGCACGCACGTCTTTTTCAGGTGTATTGTTTTTCTTAGACTTGGTATACAAAAAATGTATAGGGTTGGTCGAATGATTGCCCTCCTCAGTCACCAGCTCCGAGTCTTTTCGATTGCTGAGTAATAGGCCTTATGTTGGACAAAAGACGGGGTATAAAGGACCCAAATTGTGGAAATTAGCCTATGGTTACAGAAGATATGTAAAAAAGTAACCGACGAAGACTTGCGTGCCGCTTGCGCTTTTCTCCCAAACCCAAATGAAGGTAAAAATTTAAAAACTAATTAATAAAAATTAAGTGAAATCTGTGGAAAATTAACAATAAACTCCATTTTCGCAAAATCTATAAAAATCCCTTTTATTTCAAAAAAAAAAACTGTGTAACAGTTATTATTTTACTCCCTGTATAAAATATTAATAGCTGGAAAAAGGAGTACAAAAGAAGTACAAAACTAATAAATGAGTACATTTCCAGATATTTTTTTTTTTGGAGTACAAGGGAGTACATTGCAACAAAAAGGAGTACGTTTACTCCCAAAAGCAGTACGTCTGGCAACCCTATTCAGGCTACCAACTAGGCGCCTTAAAGTATCGCACCACTTTCCACACAATGCAACGCTCTAGTTCCTGTTCCTTTTCATTTTTGTATATGTATGTATCTATAAATTCATGTGGTCGAAAAACAAAAAAATTCACACAATTCAAAACTATCTCAAAGCACACAATTGAATTTTTAATGAAAATAAGAAAATGCCAATTTGAAAAGGGTTAAAAGTCCTTCATCATTTGACATTATAGTCGGTGTTTAAGAGAGAGAAATGTAGAAATCACTTCTACCTTGTTAAAAATCATCAAAATAAATTTCATAATTTTAATAAATTGAAAACAGATATTTTTGATCAGCTGTTTTTCTTGCTATAAAATTGCTGCTGGTAAAAAATTTTCCAGCAGAAATTAGCAACTTCCCCTCCAAGTCAGCTGTCACCTTGCGCTCTCAATTTCCCCTACTTTGCAAGTTTTTTGTGTACGAAAACACCAAAACCTGATAATTTGTAATAATTATCAGTTTGTCGAACATACTTATTTATATACTACACCTTTTCCAACAGTATTTCAGAAAAACACAAATGTATTTCAGAAAAGACCATGATTCAATAATAGCAAGGTTTTGTAATAAAACAGTCTTCTCGCTCCCACACATAAAATCGGCTCCTTTACTTGTGCAGAATGTTGCTCATTCTACAGTTTCTAGCTACATATATTAGTAGTAAAACCAAAAATTATTCATACTAAATATTCGCTGGCATCACCTTCGTTTGCGTAATTTTCTGGAACAAGCGACCGTTTAGCTATAAAATAACCAAAAGTTCCGATTGGTAGAACTTTTTACGCTGATTTCAACGATACCAAATTTATTTGGCGCAGGTAAAGAACAAAGATATAAGAGGTTTATTTGCCTTGTTTAATTAAATTTTTTATTATCACTTAATTCTTAAAACCCAAAAGTAGATCATGATAAAATATGTATATCGAATTAAAGATAATAGCTTTTACTTTTAAATAACATACATTTCTTTACCATTAATCATGCATTTTTTTCCAAAAAGTTATTTCATGAAAAAATATCATTTATTCGTTTTTTAGTGGTTTTGGTTTAAATATATAAAAACCAATTTCAATTATGTATATCAGCTGGAAGATAAATTGATTATTTTTATGGTTACGTTACTAGTTCTTTAATCGGTTATGTGGTTCATAAGATATTAATATTAAAAAAAATCAAAAAATTTAACTTTAACCTTCTAAAACTTCTTTATATTTTACATGCGCTAAATAATTTTGACATGGCTGAAATGAGCGTAAAAAGTTCTATTGATCTGCAATTTTCATTTTTGCATAGATTTGTTCCAGGAAATGACGAATAACTTAAATTAAAAATCTATATTTTTACGTATTGTTTAGTATTTCCATTAAAAAATCAATTATATAGCAAATTCACATAGAATTAATAATACACATTTTGTTTCTAATTGTATACTTTGCGCACTTTTTTAGTACCTTTCTACTACCGTTTTCGCAAAAGGCGATCACATTCTTCCCCTTTCTCCTACTTCCAAAATACAAATCTAGATAAAGGAGTGTCAGATTTGAGCTGTCACAAATTACATAACCTTGTGTATTGAATCATGAGAAAAGACCAAATGAATTTCAGAAAAGTTTAAATGATTTTCAGAAAAACGCAAATGTATTTCAGAAAAGGGCAAATGTATTTCAGAAAAATATTTTGAGAATACAGTTGTGCTTTTCGGATATTCATTTTTGTTTTTCTGAAATACATTTGCCCTTTTCTGAAATACATATGCCCTTTTCTGAAATACATTTGGGTTCTTATGAAAATCATTTGAGCTTTATTGAAATACAATTGTGTTTTTCTGAATTTCAATTGACTTTTTCTGAAATACATTTGGTCTTTTCTGAGATACATATGCGCTTCTCTGAAATACATTTGCCATTTTCTGAAATACATTGAGTTTTTCTGAAATACATTTCATCGCATGAAAATCGCATGAAAACTTTGGTCGCAATAATTATTACAAAAATAAGATCCATAAATATAAAACTTAAGAAAAAAATTTTATAGTAGATATAAAAAACCGTCTTATTTTAAAATGTTTATCTCTTTTATAACGTAATCCCTTTTAGGCTAGTTTATCGACATCGTCGAGCAAAAAATTTTTACGAATTTGTACGAATTATAATGATTTTGGTTCAAATCGCGTTCGTACAGACCAAAAAATTACCCATTACTCAAAAACTGGAGAGAAGTTGCAAACTATTGCTGGAAAAATTTTAGGCAGCAAGAATCTGCAATCACGAAAAACATGTAATTGTGGCACATGGTTGCATTTTCCTCAACGCTAATTTGAATAAACAAGTTCGTTGAATTTACAAATTTATGATCATGAAAAATCGCTCACCTTATGAAAAATTTAAGTAAATATTTGTTGATATAATTAATTTAGTTAACTCCAATGATTTGAAATGTAATCGGCTGCAAAAACTTGTATTCGTAATTGGAATGCAATCGTAACCACAGAAAAACCGGCAGTTAGTACGATAAAGAAATTGAAACGTGTGTTAAAGAAAATCAGAATAACAAGAAATATACATGTAGATCCAGTTTTTTTGGTCTATCTTAAAGAATTTCAAAAATTTTATGAAATGCACATATTTTGTTTGAAATGAAACTGTGGACACCAGCTGCCAGGGAAACTTGCAAAATCTTGCAAATTCGCGTTCGTGCAGAAATTTGCAAGTTTCTTCACATTAGAGAGAATTTGAGGGACTTTTTTCTTACTCTATGATATTTTGAGTGATGCATAATTCTTTCGGGATTTTCGACGAACAAACCTATTTTGGTACGAATGGATAAGGCTTAATGCCAGGAGCTTTCGGTGAGCAAATTTCATTTATGGCACAAATGCCAGTTACGCGGTTTTGCAGAGCGACGATACTACGATGTACCTTAAATGACGATATGTATATTAAAAGTTGTATTTTACACCATAGCAAGAAAACGGAAATTAATAGCCCAACCCTGTATCGGTGACAAAAAATTTTTTGTTGACAAATTTAAACTTTTTCATATTTTTTTTACGTAATAAAAACTGTAACAAGAATTTGTCACTGATACGGAATAGAGCCGTAATTTAATTTAAATTGAATTGAATTGAGGCCATGAGAGCCAGAGGAGCCTAGCTACAGGAAAAAAATTGTTTGAGTACTATGAGAAAGAAGGATATACATATAAATGATAAATACGGCCGTTTACTATTGTACCTACGTAATGCTACCTTTTATACAGCCTCGTTGCGAGTATCGGTCGAGTGCAAGTCGTTCTTCGATAGCCGAGTCGTATCGAAAATTGCGTGGCATTGCCTAAAATTTCGACTCGACTAGTGTATTTAAATGGAAAAACTTGGCAGCACTGGATAGTTTTCGAAGATTTTGGTCGTTTACTTATATATGCACGACAGTAGACAATGCCAATGTTGTCGAGTCGTACAATTTAGTCTTATTTACGACTTACGAATAGTAAAAAAAACTAAAACGCGTGCATCGGGCTATTTCTGTTACGATTCTATTAATGTATTTTAAACTGTACCTCTACTTTTTTTATTTCGTTGCAATTCTATTAATGCGTTTTAAACTGTAAACTAAATTTCAGTCAGTCAATTTCAATGTCAGTTAGGGCCAGTTTTTTAGTGTACGGCTGTGGTTTAAACGCTCGAACTAGCGAATTTAAACTAAGATTAGCCAATCAAACGGCAGCAAGCTGTTTAATACACAGGCAGTTTACGTAATCTAAGTTTTAACTGGCACTGAAAAGCGGGCCCCTAGGCTGCCCTGGCTCTTAAGGCCTCAATTTACATACATATATACAATATGTACTTACATGTAAGATGATGTACCTATCTATATAAAGGTAATACTAGTTTTAATTTAAAAAAAAGGTATGTGCGCCTGGGTCACACTGAAGAAGTGAAACTTACCTTCCATATCTATTTTGTCTCATAACCAATATACATACATACATCCATACATCTGCTTTTGCTTAAGGTTATATTTTTTGTCTTTTTTCTTTCTAGATCCCTATCTCTACCCCTATTCGTTCTAATTACATTTATGTTATTCTGTTTTCCTTTATATTCCTTTTTTATACTCTTCCGATAACAATATAGATAACAAAATCGATGACAAATTCGATAAAAATATAAATAAAGTCCATAACAATATCGATAACAAAACCAATAACAATATCGATAAAAAATACCGATAACAAAATGGTTAAAAATATCGATTACAAAATCGATAAAAACATCGATAACAAAATCGATAAAAATATCGATTATTACATCTATAAGTTCCGAATATAGGTAGGGAAAGATAGGTCCCGAGAATCTCGAAACCGACAGATTGAGCCTGTGTCTCCATCTACATATATCCTTTTCTCTATAATTACCTTTATTTTAATCTTTCTTCCGGTATCTTTATCTTTACTTTTATCGGTATCATCATCCTCATTTTTTTCTTTATATTTATCTTTGTTTTTACCTTTATGTTTATCATTTTCTTCATCTACATATTCCTCTTCACCTTTGCCCTTATATAAATAAAGTGTTTAAATTTATCTTGATCTTCATTTTTGCCTTTATCTTTACGCATCTTTGGTTTTGTTTTTATTTTTACCTTTGACCATTATCCTTTTCTTTATCTATGTACGTACTCCCCTTTACTTTCATTCTTGTATTGGACTTTTTCTAAGTGTTATTCTTTATCTTTTTATTAGCAAGTTTTTGTTAAACTACTACCATTTGCATACACTCAAGAAGCACTTGTTTCAGCTCCATCCATTTCCGTTGCACCATTTCCGTGTGCAATTTCCGTTGAATTTGCCAATTTACTCCCAACCAACCAACCGCCGCTAAAGAAGTTTCACTTCAATAATAATAATAATAAATTCTTGTAGAGTAAAACTTATTCAAAAACATTACCTTCTGCCACAAAAAAATTCCTTTTCTTGTACTAAATTTAATTTGCCAAAACTTATACACCCTTATTCTAGACCCCGAATTTTCGTAACTCGTAATTCGTAGCTACGTTACGAAAAACGAAAAATCGACATGCTGCAACCCTTGCGGAAAAATGTGCAGCATTGACAGGTATCAGTTGTTTTTCGAACTCAGCTGTATGAAGAAAAACAAAGTGGAAAGGAATTAAAAAACACTCATCATGTGCTTCTTTATAGTAAAATTGATTGATTTCAATATTTTGAGGAAATTAATGGATTTTGATGCATTTGCAGTTATAGCAGCGGAGTAAGAGCGCGCTATGGCAATGTACTCACAAAGGTATGCGGGGCTGCCACCATGGGCGCATCTATGTCAGCTTCTGGTTGAATTGTTGTCCTATGCCTGAAGAACTGGTTCCCAATCCAGTTAATGTAATAACAGCTTCTTCCAAGCCATTGAAAACATGCATTTTGTTAGGTCCACCACCTGTTGCGCTTGTTTCTGCCTTCGGCCTTCTCCTTTCTGTGTTGCCGGAGAAGAGGGGCTTCCGCATGCCAAAGGTATACAATATTTCGTGTGCATATCACAGTATTTTTGCGCAGAACCCACATAGAAATTTGCAAAAAAGTGCGTAGTGCAAACCGAATTTATTAATAATTTGAAACATTTATTTTAAATAAAAGTTTAATCCTTTGATTACACGTGTATGTTAAAGTTTTTGGATTCGTTGTATGCGTTTGGACACAACAACCGAAAATCATTGTACAAATAACTAAACCGGACCCAAGTTTATCGATAAAGGGCAACAAAGATTCTTTTTTGCTCGTTTATATAAAGCAGTGTATAAAAATATACGTATATATGTATATGCGAAAGGCAAATTTATATGTTTAAAACATATCTCGCCTCCGACACAGAATTGTTTTCGTAGAAAATTACGCAAAAAAGCTTACTCGTTCGATTTTAGGCATGGCATTGTTACGAATTTCGAAAGTTCGAAGATACGATTCGGATTGCAGCATACCATTTCTACGACTCGTAGCAAAATCCGAATACGAAAGTGTTGCAGAATAGGGGTGATAAATTATCGGCTTTATTTTTTCCATTAGCCATTTGATAATTGATATTACAGAAAGCACTTTACTTTGAATTAACAATAAACAAATAATTTTCAAAAACAGTTGGAGAATTCATAAGGGTGTCGTATTGTTGTACGACGTAAACTTTAAATGTCTAAAAATATATTCCAGGGGCCTGCAATGTACCATAAACTGCATTTATTATTTATTGCGAACTTTTACTTGTGACAGAGAGATTCAAAAGCATTTCAATTTTTACGGTAAATCACGCTGTTGCACCACTCTTTTGGGGTTTGTTTAGGGCGACTAAGCTTATTATTGTCGTCGGGATTTTTAAAGGAGCTTCTTATTATATTCTGTTGTCAGATTATTTCAGTAGTTATTTAACTACTTTTTATTGCCACAAAAATTCATTCCTGTTATATTTCCGGGCTCTTCTTCAGATAATTCAATGCCACGGGATATTGTGGGCCATAATATTACTAGGGAAAATAATAAAATGGTTTTTATTATGCAAATAGCTTCTGTATGTTTGGGTTTTTACCACACAGTCATTGGCGTAGTTTTCTGTTGAAAATGTTTGACACTCGAGCAGGCGGAAGCTTAATAGTTCTTTTGCACATATAATTATTTACTATTGAATATTAACTATTATTTGTGATAACGGTAGTTAAAGTTATAAAGGTACATCAACTTAACATGTGAAAATACCTATGAACTAAAGGCTATTATAATCCCATATAGCAAAAAGTTTTACCCTTCTTTCATAGAACGAAAATGGGGAAAAACATATTGCACATATAATACTTTATGTACTTTACTATAAGCGTATATATATCTGTGTTCGTATGGAAAAGTAGCTTATGTCGAAAGGTTGGCTTTAGTATAATGCGGCAATCCCTTTATTTTTTAAACGGCAAGGAATTTTTTGATGAGACTTAATAAGAATATTGCCTTGCTAGTATCGGAACTATTTCTTCCACGTTTATTTGCCAAAAGTTGTTCAACGTCTTAGCGCCAGTGAGTCATTCGCAATCGTATGCTGCGAATGCCGATTTATACTAAAGCCAGCCTTTCGACATAAGCTACTTTTCCATATGAACACAGATATATGGTAGCATAGATATGTATGTATGTCAACACACCAAATTTCAAAGTCATGTGACTTAGAGCGAAAGTACACAACGTCCATTGCGTCGCCGGCACCGTCACCGTCAATGTGAGCGTCAACGGTGCTTATGCGGCAAGTTGCACACTATTCGTTTACCATTGCGTCCTAAAATCAATAACTCGCTGCAACTCTTTGCAAAATTGCGTTGCACTTTTCTTTCATCATATTTTACATTTCTTATCTCAATAAATCCAAAAATTTTCACAAACTGAAAAAATTGAAATTCAGATATGTAAACAAAACACAGAATAGTTGTCACGCATAAGCAAAGTTGAAAGTTGAGCTAATTTGTGCGTCACAGTCACCGTCAGCTTTGTTTATGTAACTTACTTCATACGAATACACCGATTTTTTTGACAACTGACGGTGACGTTGGCGGTGACGCAAAGGACGTTATGTACTTTCACTTTTACTGTTTCGAAGTTATAACTGATTAGAAATGTCACGCCTATGGGAGGTGCCACGCCCCCTTGTCAGATCTAATTTTTTTATACCCCAGGTTACGTCCGAGGTCACACACACTCTATATACCAGTTAAAGCCCCATGAAAATCCATTCAGTAGTTCCGGAGATTAGTGAGTTCAAACAGACAAACAAACAATTTACAGTTTTATTATAGTATAGATAGATAGATAGATAGATATATAGATATATGTAATGTATTTTCGGAATTTAAAACGAAATATTAACTCCAGTGAGTTGTTAAAATACAACTTACGCGCCATTTCAACTGCTTTGAGCAGTAAATTGATATGCTCACGTTTCCTTACGCCCAAGCATTGAAGATCCCTAAATGTTAATAACTGGAATTTGTCAAAATTTATTCCACGTTGTCTCAAAAAATCCCAATACTGCGCCACACCAACTCGCTGCAACACCTCAAACATCCTTGAATTAGTCTTTAAAATAGGTGAGCGCTTCTCACATTTTTCCAGCGCNTGGCACTGCCCACTTATGATCACATATATGTATATCGTTAACCGTTTTAGCAATTTGTACCAAACTCGGTATGGTTATTGTGCTTGCCACATAAAAGCGAACCGTTGAAAATTATTGAAATCGGACTAAAATTACGGCCGCTTTTCATATAACGGTAAATTTCAGAAATGCTTGAAATTTCAATATTTCGAAATTTAAGAATGCTAGTTTACTTAATATTTATACACCCGCTTATCATGTAGCGGTAGCTTTCGGAAAGGTGGAAAACATGTATTTAATACTTGCGCCGGGTATTTAATGTTCGGC